CCTTTACGTATACATTTAACATGTACATCAGCTCCTAGGCAATGGCTCAGGCTCACATAGCCATCAGATGTTGGGGTACTTGGCATTGCCCCCCTCAGCCCCTACCCCTGAGGCATGCTTTAAAAAACTGTAGTTTGTAATAAAGCAGGAGACCTTCATCCCAAAACATGCCCGCTAATGATGGAGACAAAATTTAGATACCAGGGAAAGAAAAAGATGGTGTTTTTAAAAGTTTTTAAAGAGTTTTAAAAGTTATAAAATTTGCCAGCCAAGAGAAGGAAAAAAGTTCCGATAATTCTAGCATCAGAAAATTTCTATGATCTAAACCCACCAAAATTTGCCTTGAAAATGTAAAGTTTTCCTCCACCTCTTCCCCCTAATCTTTCCACCAAAGGATATCTCATTCTTCTTGAAAATGAAAATTTCTCTTGGTGTGTGACTTTGTGGCAGTCTGAATTCCGAGCATTCCCAGAGGCTTTTCTCTGAAACAAGGGACTCCACCCTGGGAAGTATGACAGAAAAGGTTTGGGAGATTCCTTGGGAACAAAATCCCCTGGGTGATGGACTGAGCTCTGATGTGGTGGAAGAGAGTTGGGAGGTTTGTGTTCCAGTCTCAGCTGTATGAACCTAAGCAAGGCATCTGATCGTTCTGGGTCTCACTTTCCTAATTGGTAAAAGGCTTTGTGAAATAGGAACTATAAGACCTGCTTCACTGGGGGACTATGAGAACTAGCTGAGGCCAGATGAATGCGGAAAGCCCGGGCCTGATACAGTAGCAGCTCAGTAACAAGCAGTTTCCCTTCAGCCAGCCAAGAGTAAGCCCGAGCAGAGCAGAAAGCAAGGTCAGCTTCCATATCATTTATCATAGGGTGAGAGGAGCTCCTTAAAACAAAACAAAGACTTATTTATCTTAAGGCTCAGGCTGCAGAATAGACCTTCTAGGATTGGTGTGTTTATTAAACTGGCAGGAAATCAGTTATTCAATGAGAATTAATTTTATACTAAATACCAAGAAGAATCTCGGATACCATGACAGGCAGTAAACAGATGGTAGTTTCTCGAAAGGCTAAAGGAGGAGCTGAACCACCCCGCCCAGTTCTTCAGAGAATAATTCTGACATCTTCACCCCTCTCTGAAATTGTTGCCCAACTCTGTCATTTCTTATGTCAGTCACTTCAAAGAAAACACAACGACCACCAGGGGCTAAAACTCATTCATTCTCCCTTCTGATTCTACCAGGTACGATAAGTCATCCTTTAAAGAAAAGTAAGTATGGATCTGTGTTTTAGGCAGGGTGAGGGGCGAAGGCAGGAGCGATGAAGATAATTTAAAAATCAGAACTGTTAAAAACCAGCCCTCGGGGAAAACCCAGGTAAACATAACAGGGTACCTTGGGTGCACAGCGTGCCCTGTGTTTGGAAGTTCTGAGCCGAGGATGCCAGAGTGAGCGCTTACACAAAGTGCAGTTGCAGAGTGTGTACTCACTGGGCATTTTGTTTGTATAAAATGAGAGGTGTTGAGCAAATTTGGGGGTAAAAAAGAGGATCGTTTTATGAGGTTTTACACAAGACATTAAATCCTCAATGCAGAAATGGTATTAGTACAGGATATATCTGAGAAGCCTTTCTATAACAAGATAAACATCAGAGAAGATATTCTTGGTAAACAATGGTAATAAATGGATGTTCATGCTATGCATGACCTGAGGGTTAAGTGCACGACTCTGAAGTGAGTCAGAACAGAGGACAAATTCTGGCAGCCGTCAATAGTCAGGACTTCAGATTTGACTTGTGTTGGCTTTGGCTTTTTCCAAGGGATCAGACTGCCTGCATCTGTTTTTGGTAATAGAAGAGCCAAATAACTTAGGAATGAAGAAATAACAGGGCAAATCCATCTCCACTACTGGAGAATCATCCTAAAGCATGTAGGTTCTAAGGGTCATTTACACAGCTGGAGAACGGCCCTTTCCCACTATGTGCCGAGACGATTAGTGGTCTCCCCAGAGGACTCTCAGCTGGAGTCAAACAGATTGGCACGTCACACATCAGTGCCGAGCTACATGTGTTGGATACAGCTGATTTCTTTTATTTTTAATCAGTCTTTGGTCCTAAACTAAGTTCTTTCAACTCCAGAGCAATTGACAGATGACATAGAGTATACTCTTCCCCCACAATTTTTTTTTCCTTTCACTGGTTATAAATACCTCCATGCTATTGTGCTTGGCAGGCCGTATGCAAATGGAGGCAGGAGTCCTAAGCTCATTAGGAAAGGGATGGAGGCTTGGAGCATGGAGAGGACAGTACTGAGCTGAAGCTGATAACAGTGGCCTTGTCCAGAATAGTGCATGGGAGCTTTCTTATCTCGCTTTGGCAGGAGGTGCTGTGGACTTCCTGTGCGAAATCAGGAGTGAAGGCTGCTTTCCTCTTGTTGTTCAGCTTCCTCCCCCTCAAGACGGTTCCCAGCACAGCGATTATCTTTGCATCTTCAAACATGGCACAATCTACTTCCTTAAAGGCTTGATGTATTCTTGAGGCTTAGGCAAATTCCCCTCCCCCTAAATCTCTTTTCAAGTGCTGTTGTAGAGGCAGGCTCCTAAATGACATTCTATTTTTATGGTTCCAATTACAAAGGGAAAAATAACAGGCCCTAAATTAGAAGAGTCACAGAATCTGTCCTTTCATTTGGAAGATCTGGCAGTAAGCTGAACCTATGGTTTCCATACCAAGGCCGTGTAGTTTGTAACTGCCCTTGGAGTCACAGGTAGGGGTGGATGTGGAGGGGAGGGAGGGGGTGTCAGAGGTCAACAGCCCCAAGTAAACTCAGACAGCAGACTGTATTTCCCTTACTCTAACAGATTTCTTTGTACTTGCTGAAGGCCAAGAACTGTATATGAAATTCTGATCTTTGACTAAGCCTCCTCTTCTCTTCTTCATTGCTTTGGGGAAAAAACAATGAAACCTAAAGCCTTCCTCTTTCAGGTACCGGAGGATCTCAGCTGTCCAGTGTCACAGTCCCAAATGCACATGCACCCGTCTAAATCAAATACAGATGAGAGCATGTGAAAGGTGGGAAGTCAAATAGTAGCTCAAGGCATGGATGTTGTGTCCAGCAAATAGAGAATATTCATAAGGAAAAGTAGGACCAAGCGACTAACATAATTTTAAAACTATTATTAAAATGTTTCCAGGAGAAAAGAAAATACATAATTTCTGCTTGCTTCAGTTTTCTCTACTGATCAGTAAGACTTAAAATGTTCACTTATCTTACCTGGTGATTATAAAGAACAGCTGGGAGAAATCCCAGAAATTCCTTAAAGCATGGTCAGCCCTTATTCTTTTTTTTATTTTAAATGTTATAATCCATTGCAAAAACAGGCATCTTGATAGCATTTGGAGAAATCTGAAGCATGGGATAGGAATTATTGCTAATTCTGTTAGGTATCAAAGTAGCCTTGTAGTTATATCAGAAAACGTGCATAGTTTCAGAAACACCCACTTAGGTATACAGCTAAAATAATGAGTCTGGCATTTGCTTTAAAGATACTTCACAAACTAAAAAAAAATAAATAAATAAGGGATAGTAAGGAAAATATGGCAAATCTTGATTACTGAAGTCTGGGTGGGGGTAGAGCTCAGGGATAGAGTGCTTGCCTAGTGTACAAGACCCTTGGCTCTATCCCCAGCACGCGTACCTACACACGCGCGCACAAGCACACTCACACAAAATCTGGAGATAAGCATTTGGTGATTTATCACACTGTGTTCTTTACTTATCAGTATGTTTGAAAATAATAAACAATGAAGACTTTTTCTAGAAATAGAACGTATCAGGTACCTCGTGCTTGCGTGTATGTTTACGAATGTTTGTGGAGTGCAGATTACACCACGACCCTGCCTAGCTAGGGAGACTGAGTGACTAAGTGGATGTGGCGACTGTCCCCGTGGCTCTGGGAACAGAGGCTTGGGAAGCAGTGAATAGATACTGAGAAGCCGGCGAGTGCTGTGTAGCACAGCGTTACAGGACAGCACACGCAAGGAGGGGAGCCTAACCCAGCACCCCGGACATTTAACTTTCTGGGAACGTTTTTCAGCGACAGCAACAGAGAAGAACATTAACAAAACTTTTGTCTGACCCCCACAATCTCCTCTCTCCTACCCCTCCTCTTATTTACTCTACGTTACACCTGATTTCACATAAGTCATCATTGCTCTCACCTACTTAATATCCACCACTCATTCTTTCTGGGAATAAAATTCTTCCTGGCATGAACAATCTCCAGAATCTGCCCAAGACAGGCATAAATTCAAGATCAGCAAGCTTTCTAATCACCAAACGTTCTAGGCCAGAAGGTAAGAATGCAAAATGATGAAATGTTTAAAGTAAAAGGAGAAAGACTTTACAGACCTTAAAGATAAACAACACCAACACCCTTTTTAATAATTAAGCACTTGAGGCCTAACAAGGTCAAGAGCTTGCAGTGATACCCCCAAAACTTAAAAAAATAGATGGAATTCAATAACTACCCCAAGATGCTTGTTTACAGATGCATTTAATTAGCCTTGAAAAAATGAGCTGTACAACTGGATATTCCAAGGAAAAGCCAGCCTTTTCTGGATGTGAGATGCTGTTACTTCCTCTGGGTTTCCATTCATTAACATAACTTCATTTTTCCCCTCTGTTTGCATGTTACTCCCACTAGGAACTAATTAAAGCCTAAATTAAATTTTCTAACATATGCATTTTTCTTTAATATTTAGAACAGGAATGATGTACGGCAGCACGCGGTTGGGGTTTTGGCCTTATCAAGCAAACATATTTGGTATTTTTAAGTTCTGAGAATGAATCTAGGGGAAAAAAATCAAAGGAAAAGAAGATTGACATAAAATTTTCTGTGTTTCTGTTATCTGAGAACTTACCCAGTGGTTTTCATTTCACCTGTTACCACTGACTACCCCCAGGCTGTAAAACGACGTTGTAATGGCTTATTTTTTTTTTAATAGGTCTGACTTTTGTTCCAGTAATAAAGAGTCCTTTATCCTGGATCCTAATAGCAACGTAGGCAACAAAATTGAGAGCATCACTCAGCGCATGGCAACAGCAGAAGGAAAGAATAAGGTATTGTTTGTAAATATGGGCACTGGGGTGTTCTAAAAATACATACTCATTTCCCAGTCCTAGGTTTATTGGAACCAGAAGTAATTCAAATGCTCAAACAGAATTCAAGGAAAAGCAAGATAATATCTCCCTGAGACGTGTCTTCAGGGAGACATACATTAAGATTACTCAAACGGCTGTATTCTCCAATTGACCCCCAGTTCGGAATGGAATAGGTAGAGCGGAACCCTTGAACATCAGATTGCTCCATCAGTGGTCCTCAGTCTTGCCTGCATATTAGGTTCACCTGCCAATTAGCGTTATATCCAAATCTCCAAGGTGGAAGCCCCGGGTTCATAAAAGTTTCCCATGTGATTCCAGCCTATACCCAGGTCCGAGAGCTACCTTCACCCATAAGTGGGATCCCAGCAAGCAAAAGCTAGTACAAGTTTCAGGGCTAAAACTTTGTATCAGCAGATATCATGCTTTTCTCTGTCTTTGCCTGGGCAAAGCCTAAACTGGGTTATGCAAAGGCACAGTCTGTCAGGGTCTCTCAAGCTAATCCAGTCTAGCAGGCATTTGTTTTTCCTGTCACTCTTGCTCCAGTCACTTTCTACTTTCCTGACCCTCTCCTGAGCCTCGGTGATCCATGATACCTTGTGAACCAAGCCAGTCTCATAAGACTGAAAATCTAATCACTTTTTCTCTGCTGAATTAGTGAATACACTTAAAAAGTTGCTATTATCAGGTAGAGGAATAGCTGTACTTTTAAAAAAAATCAATCTCTTGAGCAAGGGATGTAGCTCAGTGGCACAGAACCTGCCTGGCAAGCGTGAGGTTCTGAGTTCATTTCCCAGTACTAAAAAAAACCCCAGTATTTTTCATTATGTGAAAACTTTGGACGTACGCTAATGTTACCAGCATTCTTTGCCAAGCCGGGGTGGTTTTCTCCATTTTAAAGATAAGAAAAATGGGGATGATAAGACGACTAACCCAAAACCACCCAGTTTAAAAGGGTAAATGAGAAACTCAAAGCAAGTTCTTCCAAATCAAAACCAAGGGCTGTCACAGCTAACTTAAGCCGATGCAGAAACTAAAATGACAGTGGTTAATCAAACATCTGTAGTTACTTGTCAAGGGTTTAGGGAAGTTTTATAGCTGTAGCAGTAGCTGTGGGTGGTTTTATAACTCTTCTCTAACACACATAAACAGGAGTTGGAGAGCAATTTAATGACAGAGATAGAGGAAATTCTATACAATTTAAAGTTTAGTTTGGGTGAGATTACATTTTGGAGCGGGCTATGTCAGTTTACTGGCAATTTACAGTAATTAGTTGTCACAAAGAACTAGGGATATTTCAAGATGTTATTAGGAGTCTGTATTCATTTTGCCTTTCCCTGACCTTATCGAGTAGGTAGATCATTTACTGATGGACATTCATAACAAGAACTTACAAGTATAATTTTAGTAGTACCTTCTGGTCTTATTTTGGTATCTTATCCATAAAACCACACAATAGGAAATAAAATGCAAAATGAGAAAGCTAAATAAGGTTTCTTATCAGTTTGAACTATGAAATAGTAATGAATTCTGTGTGATACCTATAAAAATGGTAGGCGTAGAGTAATAAAACCTGACTGAGATAGAACTTCCCCAAGTTTCTCATGTAGGCCTGAAACAAATGTACTATCTTGTAATTTTGTAGTTAGGAAGATTTTGAAATATGCGCTTCTGCACACAGTTAGGACTTACACCACCTGACCTGCATTCAGGAACCCCAGGGTTAAGGTCTGCCCTTTTAAATCTATAAAAACACAGGGCCGGGGGTATAGCTCGGCAGGACAGTACCTGCCTGGCAAGCACAGGGTCATGAGTTTGATTCCTGGTACCAAATAAATAAATACATCTGTAAAACTACTTGCAATCAGTTTCTCTTTCCTGGAATTCTCTCCTCCAAAAACGGCACTAATGATATTTTCCCTACTTAGCTTCTTATTGTAATGACGAGAAGAAATAACATGGTGAGACAGTGATAATTTAAAAATACTACTCTAATGAAATGCCAACCATATATGCTCTAATATAATCCCCCAAACTGATTATAATTATATGTAATGAAGATTTTTGTGAAACAATTACTTGCACTGAATAAACTTTTAATACTCCTTCTAAACAATGTTTAGAGGTGAAATATAAGCAGGTGCAATACTAACACATTAGAGTTAGAGTACATTATTGATTTCATGTTCATCAAAAATTCATTTGGGGGGCTGGGGATTTAGCTTAGTGGCAGAGCACCTGCCTGGCAAGCACAAGGTCATGAGTTCGATTCCTGGTACCAGAAGAAAAGACAAAAAACAAACAAACAAAAAAATTCATTTGGAGGACCGAGGACATAGCTCCGCAGCACAGGGCCTGCCTGGCAAGCACAATGTCACTAGTTCAATTCCTGGTACCAAAATAAAAAAATTTCATTTGGGAGGGCTGGGGATATAGTCCAGTGACACAAGTGCCTGCCTGGCAAGCACAAGGTCCTGAGTTTGAGTCCTGGTACCAAAAAATTCATTTGGGAGAATTTACTACTTTTACTTTTGTATTGACTAATCTTTCTCTGTGTTAAAAACGTTATCTTTTATACAATGATGACATGGAAATTTTGCTACATGCAGCACTCTTTACAATTGAAACTGTTCTCTTTTTTTCTGTGCACTTTTAGAAATTACATCTGAATTTAGACCAGGATGATCCCCTTATTTTCCATCCGTGCTCCTCTAGAGATAAAGGATGTGGGACTTACACTGGGGCATTTGTTGAACATCAGGGAGTTGTTTTCTTTGTCCTTTTTTTTTTTAAACTCAAGGAAGGGTATAAATGAAAATCATATTCGGTTTCCTTACTGGCTAGTTTTGGTGCAGAATTGTGAAATGTGAGTCATGCACTGGAGTAGCTAATCACAAATGTAGAGTTTTCATGGTTTAAAACATTACAGCATTAATTCTGTATGGCTGGAGAATCATAACAATTTTAATGTAACATTTCCAGTGAGGTGGGGGCCTATTGAGAAGTGTGTGTACTGTATGAGAAATCCATGACTAAAATAATAGTTATCACAGAATTATTGCTCGTGTTTTAATTCCCATGCAGCCCCCAACTTGTTCTAATTCTCATGTTCTACTTTCCCATGATTTGGCTTTAACATACCTGTGCTAATTTTAGATTCTTCCATGACCTTTATACATTTACTTGTATATCTCCTTAAAAACACTTAAAAGCAAGTTAAATTAGAAACATCCCCAAATTAAAACCACTGTTCCATATATAGACTTCTTAAAAACTCGTACTGGAAATTAGGCTGGATGACACGTCACTCCATTCATTCTATTCTCTGATGTTGAAATGACATTGCAGAAGTGAATTACTAATGCCTAGGGAAAGGGAAGGAAGGAAGGAAGGAACATGAAACACAAACTTACAGTACTTGATGATCTTTATGAGTGTTCCTGGGTCATACAAAAAATCCAGGGAATAGACTGGAAGGATCTGTTTCTAATATCTAAATCTTTGGGGTCCTGGCAGGATATCCCCCAAAGCAGAAGTATCCCAAAGTAGTAAAAATAAATATGAATCCTTTAAGAATGTAGAATTACACTGGATTGGAAATCTCACAGAGAGGTTGCTTACCCCAAACTGGTCAATCAACATTAAAAAAAATTTTTATAGTGCTGGGGATTGAGCTATACCTCCAGCCCCACCATTGAACTTTTAAAATGTTGTAAATTAATGTGTTCACCCTATATGAGGCAGTGTGAATTTTAAGTAGATGTGAAAGAATTGATACCCAGTACTTTCTGATGAATAGGAGCTTAGATATTCTAATTTTATTTTAACACTTCTTTTTTTAAATTTCTCAGTCCTCTTTCACTTATTTTCAAGTGGAAAATGGACAATAATTATAGAAGTAATAGGAGCAGATATCCATGAGAATTTCTTTTCATATGCTCTATAAAATAAATTATGATTGTAAACATACGTTACAACTCAAATCCTTGGCACTTTATCTTTTAAAGTATCACAGTGATATCTGGGGCTCCAAATGTCATGCTATCTTCATTTCTTTCCTTTTGAAATAATAGTTTTTTGGTTATATGCATTGGGGGACAGATTTGTCCCCTGAGCAACATTCATACGTTGATGTTTACTGTCATATGCATTGTCTTGTGGTCCAACCAAACAAAACCGATCTGCAGCTCTCATTGGAATTCCTGTCTCTACCCTCATAAAGTGTGAACTTTAATTGTCAAGTATTTTTACATTTCGTGAAACTATGTTTTAATTTACAGTTTTAAAACATATGGAAGAAATGAGACATTTCTACTGTAGAAATGAGCTATTTAGTGAAGTTGATCATAGAATAAAAGTTTTACCTTAAAGGTGAAAAGTTATAATCTTTATATACATACCTTTATATAACCTTTGTATATAACCTTCTTTATAACCCTTTCATCATTCATATTTTCATACACATAACATTTTATCCATTGAAAAACAGTTTGCAGCTTATGTAACATGCTATGAAAGAAGGAAACTAGCGTTTCTATACACGACAGCATTTAGCGTATGGCCCATCGCTGCTGATTAAAGGAGAAATTCTCAAGGAAAAACCCAATTCAAAGAGTAGTCTGAACTTTACCAGTAGGTCTGTGTTACTCCATTTAAATGATTTCAGTGGAAGAAACAATTTGATTTAGAAATTGAGAACACAGTTACTCGAGTGAGACACAACTTGGCATAAGTTTTTCCCAGGCTGATCTGTGGCCCTGTATATCTTAGGTGAATCAGTTAACCTTTATAAACCTCAGCTGCCCCATCTATAGAATAGGACAGTGATGGCAAACCTTTTAGAGCATTCGATGATAATGAACAGCCATCTGTGGCATGTGTGCCGCTGGAATAGGGTAATATACCCATCTCAGAGAGATGTGGGGAGGATTAAATGAGATAACACATGTACGTTGTTTTGCATGCTATCTGCTGCATAGCAGAGGCTACATAAAGTTACCCAGAAAGAACAACCCCCAAAAAGTACATGCTCGTCAATATCATTTCCTACTTCTATTTTAGTAGAAACTTTGGTAAGGAGAATTCTAAGGTAGGCTTGACTATGTAGAAGGTGTCTTGTTTCAGACTGCAATATTCAGGCAGAGGAAAGATTTGAATCTATTCCCACCTCCACGGTTCACCCTAAGGCAGGGACTTAAATCAGTTCTGAGTACCTGCGCTTTAACCGCTGAACACACAATAATTCCGACCTCGCTGACTTTTGTTGGGGCGTAATGTACAGCCATTTGCCTACACACTGCAAAGGTGCACATGTAAACTGATTTTCCCTTGTCATGAGACCCAGTTCTTGTGCTCAGTTGCTGAGTTCAGTGAAAACAGCATTGTTTTTATAGAAGCCCAGATGCAATTTATAGATGCAAGTAATTGCTTTCCAAATTTTCAGACATTCCTCAGTCAACAAAAATAGTTTTTCACTTATTTACTGTGCAACAATAAACCTAAGAACTAAAATCAGTTTCTACCTAGGCTTCTTAGAATAAACACTTGAATTTAGACACAGTACCTGAGCTGACATGAAGAAGGTTTTTTTTTACTTTGTCTTTTTTTCTTTTTCACTTTTGGTGTTTTGAGACAGTGTGCCTCACTACGCAGTTCAGGCGGGTCCTGAATTCACTAGGTTGGCCTTGAACTTGGAGCAGTCCTCCTGCCTCAGCCTCCCAAGTGCTCCGATTACAAGAGTGTGCCATCATGCCTGGCCGAAGAAGGCTTTGTGAACCTAATGCACTTGCTTCAGAACCTAATGCAAACTGCCTAGCAGCATTAAAGCCTGATATTCTTTAGACAACAAAAGGGAGTCAGTCTCACAGGGTGATCTCTCCTACCCTCTCAGCTGTCACCAGCTAACAGTTCCTTTCACGTTGCCGCATTTCTCCTAACTCTGCCACTTTCTTCCAAGTCTCTTTATTTATAAAGACAGAACTACCTTAAATGTATTAGCTGGGCGAAGAGACCACAAATATCTAGTATTAGCAACTCAGAAGATGCAATGTCATTTCAACATCAGGGAATAGAATGAATGGAGTGACGTGTCATTCAGCTTAATTTCCAGTACGAGTTTTTAAGAAGTCTATATATGGAACAGTGGCTTTAATTTGGGGATGTTTCTAATTTAACTTGCTTTTAAGTGTTTTAGGGATCCTTCCCAGTTACTAAGCCATTTGAGTATGTTCACAGCCCAGGAAAGTCGTCGGTCATGTTTCAGCCCATGCAAAAATGTAGCCTGTAATTCACTTGGTCACTAGGTGCTAGCTAGGAGCGCTGATTAGTCAGAAAGTGTCATCACAGCTGCTGGAATTTCACAGCCCATGACCAGTTATTTGTATCCTAGAATACAAGTTGCAAAGATTTAGAAGCAACTGAATAAACCTTTTATGTGTAGCTTTAAGTGTGAAAAACTAGCTGTTTCATTTTTCACACAGAATATGAACTACTTATTTATGCAACAGGGTTAAATTTGTAAATAATGGTGTGTCTCATATTGCACATTTTACTTTTTGTTTTTTTATTTTTTTGGTTTTTTCTCCGGTACCAGGAACCGAACTCACGACCTTGCGCTTGCCAGGCAGGCGCTTTTGCCACTGAGCTAAATCCCCAGCCCACATTTTACTTTTTAATAAAAAACAATTTTAGTCTTCAAGCTGTCTACATTTTTGTTTCATTATTTTTTAGACATTGCAGTTTGAAAGTGCTTTTAAGCTCACATAAACTTGACTGTTAATATTCCCCTCAGGACAAAGTTGTCAAACAGTACCACTAACATCTAGTGAAACCGTGTTGTATTAATTCACAGCTCATAGCTTTACTTTCTAGGAATTGAACAAACTTAGAAATTTGGTAGTTTACAAACACACACAGATACAGCCACAGGACCATCTTAGTGAGTTTTCCAGCCTTATGTATCCTTCAGACCCATTCAGGGCTAGATGCCGTATTCCTTGAGCACACAGAAAAAGTGGTTCCGCCAAGTTTTCTCTTTTGTCCCCTGCTCATGTAACACGCCCAGCATGGAACCAAATGGCAAGAAGTCTCCTGTTTCAGGCGTCATCACACTCCCATTCACCAAACAAGGGACAGCGGAGGCCTCGCCTTCCTTTTCACTGACGTGCTACCTTGTAGGTGATACCTGCGGTCCCACAGCTCGGGGTCAGGTCTGTGACTGTTATCCCAGCAGCATGAGATAAGCCGAAAGCCCTGCTGTGGGTAGGATGTCGTGGGCTGCAGTCTCCTGAGAACCCACTTTCCTGTTATTTTTCTAGTTTTGCTGGGGCTAGGCAAGGAGAGAGCTTTCTGTTGCCCACCAACCACACAATACTACTATCTTTGCTCAATGAATGAAAGAACTGAATCATTTCCACTCTCAGGAGCTGTGTAGGGATGTTCAGAGAGTTCTCTGTTCTACTTTAGCTAAAGTTGCTTTTTCTTTTGCAGGTGGCAAGCACCTTGGTTGTGGCTGATGCTAGAATTTCTGGAATCTACAGCTGCGTGGCTTCCAATAAAATAGGAACCGTGAGAAGAAACATAACTTTTTATGTTACAGGTAAGACACAGCCCTATATCCACAAAGACAACCTGTGATGTTGGGCTGTCTTCAATCCTGTTTGTGCTTAGTGTGCTTATACCGTGAGTGATTTTTTTGTAATCCATAGCATTGTTAGGCTTTGAGTACCTTCATTCTTGCTCTCAAGAATAGAATTCTACAACATCATTGGTTCTCCTACAGTTATTTCCCTAAATTCTCTTTTAGAGTTATTTCTGCTTGTCTCCCTCCAGACTGGATGTGAACTTGGGATCTTGTATATTTACTTTGAACTCCTGTTGGTACCTACAGCAGTTTCTCAATAACAAGCAAGGAAATCTAATACCTTTGATGCTGTAGTACTTCTGTTAACCTAGAAGCTAATTGTTTCATAGCTTAAGTAATTTAGATTTTGAGGGGAATGAGGCTGTCTCATAGAAATCTGAAATGGAGCTTTATCAACCATAGTTAATGAGTTTTTAAGAGCATATAAGAATTTTTAAATATGATGGTCTCTGCAAATCTTAAAACCTCCAAAGTACACAAATGGCACTCCTTATGTCCCTCCGTGGGTACAGGAAGGAAATAAGTAGCTCAAAGTATAAAAACAATTGCCTGGCTCCACACTCCCCCAATTTCTGAGGAAACCTGGGCAGCCTGCCAGCTCTCTGGAAACTTTGCACTGCATGGGGCAGGCTGCTGAGATTGCCTAGAAGTCTCCAGAAAGAAACAGGCAGGACTGATTTCAGTTGGGTTGACAGGAGTGTTTTGGCAAGTTCACCAAGCCCCAGAGAAGTCATCCACAGGACAGCCTCACAGGTCAGAGCTGGAAGACACTAGTAGCAGCTCTTCAGCGTCCTAGCTCACACACTCTTATAGCCAAGTTACTCCCTGTCTTCTCACCACACAGAAGTGGAAGGAAAAACATCTTTGCCTCTATTCCAAGAGGGAAATTCTCACTGGGGTTTCATGTAGATTAGTTTGCTAATAAATCCAGATGAGTTGCATTAATTAAATAGAAAGATTTATGCTGTTCTTTTATTTGGTTGGAAACAAGTTACCATCGGAATCCATAATCACTATTTAGAATACAGAAGATGAAGCAATGCTTGCTCTTCTCTAAACATTCAAAAGTGTGCGACATCTTAGGAGAACTATTAAATAGCACGCTTCCACTCTGCTCCTTGAGCACTTGAATGGGAACCCGGTGCAGCCCTGTCTTTCTAGGAAGACAGCTCTAACATTGAGTAAGGGAAGAAATGATAAATTACATATCTCCTAGTATCAAAAATTGGGTACAGAGGAATACAATGGGAGCTCTGGGCGAGCTCAGTGGCAGAGCACCTCTTAGCACACAGGCTCTGAGCTCTGTCCTCAGCGCTGCAAAAATAGGTAGTAATATGACACATAAATTTACTCTTAAAAGTCACCACTATTTAACTGTCCACTTAGGATATAAGCCACGAGTGTGATTTAAAATTTTCCAGTTACCACATTCTTTAAAAGTAAGTTTTATTTATTCCAAATATCTGAAGCATTATAATTTCAATATGTAATCAGTATGGGAAGGGTGCTGAGGATTGAATTGAAGGCTTTAAAGATGCTGAGCGTGTACTCTGGCACTGAGCTATATCCCCAGCCCTAAAATTAATGTTTAAAAAGTATTCCATTGTTTCAGTGTCTTCCTTCTAATCCATCTAAACAACAAACAATAAAATTCAGTGCAGTGTTGGACAGTGCATCCCTGGGCCTCTGAGCAGGGAGCAGAATAGGACACGGTCCCAGGGTGGGGTAGGGATGAGGAGGCAGAGGGAAGAGGCAGAGCCCTGACTTTGGCAGAATCAAGGTGAGAGGGCTGGAGGCAGCCCACAAACCATTCATCTCACCATTGACAAGTTCTAGATCAAGCCAGCAAGCCATTGCATCTGTTTTCATTCCCTATGGAAAAATATACCTTCACCAGGACCCAAAAGGCCAGGACAAGTTTAGGGTCCTGGGACTATTCAGAGTTGCAGAGCAGACTGCGGCAGCACCCAGCGGTGCAGAACTGACGTGCATCTCAATTTCCACTGCTGACTCTGCCCCACACTGGCAGGGGCCGTGCGTCCACCAGTGTCTCCCCCGCTCTCCGCTCCCCACTCCTGCCCTCAGCACATCTTCCGCTGGCCACTTCTCAGGCAGCCCTAGAGATGTGCACACTGACAAGCAGTCTGCTCTCAGGAAGAGGAAGCATCCTGAGCCAGCCTAGAAACAAACCTGGGATCATCTTTTTGGGGAATGTTGGGATCCCAAGGACCCTGAACATGATACAGAAATACAGTGATACAGTCTCTGGGTGGGCCACAGACTCGCCACATCGCAAGGGGGCACAGAGCCCCTTGTGCCTTGGTCTGGCTCCGCAGTGAAAGAGGACTGCTAAGAGTAGAGGACAACATTCACACATCCTTCAAACGTTCCTCCTGGAAACTAAGAACATTCTTCCTCTAGAGATGCAAGGGCTTTAATCTTAAAATGGAGCACAAGCTCAACAAACCCAGCCCTCTTTGCCCAGAATATACTTTCTTCAAATAATTCACTCCAGCCAGTCCTGAAAAATTCTGGTTTAGGTTGGTGACAGATGAACTGGTTTATATTCGTTATTCGTTTTTAGTTAATGATTATCTTTTTCTTACTTAAGATTTATTTTCACTGGAAGTGAGAATAAATACTAATATACTGCACCTTACCTACCTATTTTTCCGAGAAAAATGAATACACATTTGTTCAGTGCTTTGCCCAGTGAGCAAGTCTTTAAAGCTGGCTAGCCAAGATTTTCATGCTGTGAAGATCTAGATTTGGATCTTTATTCTTCATTTCAGTTGTGTTGCCCCTTGCTTAAAACACAAATACTCTGCCTTCCAAACTGATAAAACTGGTTATCTGTGGCCATTAGCATTTTTTGACAGCTTCAACCCAGACTTCCTGGGCTGGGGATAGAGCTCAGCAGCACAAGCGCCTACCTGGCAAGCACAAGGTCCTGAGTTCAGTTCCCAGTACCAAAAAGGAAAAAAAACTTCCAGACTTCAGCACCCACGGTACATGGCCTCTACCTGAAAGAAGAAAAGCCCTCTAGTACCACTCACTTTTCTTTCAGAGAATGGTATTTCCATTCTTCAGTTAAGAACAACTTATTTCTACCTGATAAATGAGACCTCTTTCATCTTTTTGCATATCTATGCTTGTCTCTTCAATGAATGCCCTCCACATGCCTAATCCGATCACGTCAAAGTGATTGCCCCTAGACACTGACCTTTATAAACGGATCACTCTTTCACCTAACTGCAGATTGGGTGTCTTCTGAGCAAGGGTTGATTCTTCTCTGCGACACCTCATAAGACTTTATGGATACGGCGTGTGTTAAATGGATGAATGACAATGAAGACTGTTGAATCTTAAACAGATACCGAAGTGTGGGAAGATTTCTTGTTTTCACTTGGAGGTCTAGAAGGCAGTTCTTTCTTGGGTCTGTTTTTGTACTCAGGCTAGAAAAAAAGTCAACATGAATTAAGGGGAAATCCCTCTGGGCTCATTAAGCAGTTGAGGACATTCTATTTATCATCTTCCATGGATCAAAAGAGAATACCAAAGGGGTTACATCGAGAAATAGATAATGTTGTCTAAGAGGCCGTCTGATGGCTTCAGCCACATTAACTTCAGTAAATGTGACTGTCACACAAGGAACAGACCTCATAATGGATTCGGTCCTTGTCTTTCCTATGTGTACATTTTTGCAGTTTTGCTGGCGCTAAGCATGAGCACAGGCGGGTGAGCAATTACGGAGGGTGAAACAGGAACAACGCGGCCTTATCTCCCTGGTTTCCCAATGTCACTAAATGCATTTTATTTTGAGATTCCTGGTGGTGCTTGGCAAAGATAAACAAAATCTTCCATCAGGAAACCTGTGAGCTATTTCCACAGGAAGTTTCAAATCACTAAAGTAAACAGAAGCTCTCTACATGATCTCAGTGGTGTTACTGGGCTCCCTTGGGTTCTGACTAGCGGGATGGGACCTTGTAAGTGGAAAGTTTGTGGTCTTGTTAGAAAACTATCTGCGACCGGTGCAACCAGCGTCCCGGACCTCTGCTCTACTGTCTTGTGTAAAAGCCGATGGCTGACATTTCACTCCTCAGACTTGGAAAATGTCCGCAATGTAAAAAGATGCTGAATTAGAATAGCTACTTCTGACAGCTCACTTTGAGGTTAAAAATGACTATCAACTGCCGCTGCATCTTGTGGGACATTCTTAGATTTCATTTTGCGGCAGAAAAACCTCCAGTGGGCTCCTCTCTCCCCAGTCACTGACAGCTTCGTACGCCACCTTCAGCCCCGCACCCAGCTTTCAAATGAATACTTTGGCATTTCTTCAGACGTGACACTTTATAATAAAGCCAAAGCCCAGAAAAATCAGAAAAACAAGCAAAGTGAGATGTAGGAAAGAGTTGATATGATATCTAATTTTGGACTATTGTCCCCTTAAGGTTTAAAGGTTTCTTTATAGCTTTGTGTGCAAAGGATAATAATAATAATAGCATAACATAGTGCTTTTCATCTTCAAAGCACTTTGTAAAATGTTGGCCCAAATTCTTTGCTCAAATATAGATACATCACTGGTAACAAGCAACAGGAGGGTTGGACAGCAGGTCAGTTCAGGGCCGGCAGCCAGTGATTAAAACCCTCCAGTGAAGTGGTCCCAAATGACACTAGGGAACTTGCAGCCCCAAATTTAAACAAAAGTGCTGGAAGGAGCGCTGGTACAGGGGAACACGCAGGTTACTGCTAGAAGCTCCTAGGAGATGGAGTTAAAGGTGAACTGGACGCTGACATAGGACAGAATGGATTTTAATGATACAGTCACCTTCATAATATGTTTTAGATGTTTTTGAGAGGAAGATTTTTGGTTTTTTTTTAATCTTGCAGTTGTGGACTCAAACATAGGGCCTCACACACGCTAGGCTAGCGCTCTATCACTGAGTACACTACCACCCCCAATCCTTAGTTTGATTTCTTCAAAAATTATTCTCTGTAATTTTTGGAAACTGACAACTCTTCTAGATTAGCCGTCTGCATTTTGCAAGGAAGTCTTTGCTTTATTTTTGAGGAGTGGGTACCGAGGACTGAACCCAAGGTCTTCTCAGTGAACTACCTCCTCAATCCTTTAAAATTTTTTTTTATTTTTGAGATAGGGTCTTGCTAAGTCACTAAGTTGCCCAGGCTGGACTCAAATTTGCATCCTCCTGCCTCAGTCTCCCAGAGTGTGGGGATTACATGTGTGCGCCACACCAGCCTGCCCATGTGCTTTCTTATATCTAAGTAAAATCACTGCCGTAACAGGGAGGCTGAACAAGTAACCTGGATCCTCTGGCCCATTATGCCAGCAAAAAGCAGGGAAGCACTCTAACCTCAGCCGGGGGGGTGGAGGGAGCGCTGTGGAACAGCTACTTCTCATCAGGAAAGGGTAGGGCTGAAGTGTTGACCAGCGTGTGCCTCCAACTTCCCACTATGTACAAGCTCACTGTGTAGCTTACTTGTAAGCGATCTTGGATATGTCTGCCCATACATGTACCTTTGGTTTTTAATATAGATTGTTCTCTTTTTAATTCATCATTTTGTTCACATCAAATGTCCATTTACCAAGAGGAGGACTGTATGTGAAAAACAAATGGGAAACAAGGTTATCATCCCAAGTTGGAAAAAAACTTTTCCATTGTGAAGAGCAAGTCTGAGCAAATATTGAAAAAGTACCATAAAAAAATCACTCCCCTGCTGGGTGTGGTGGTGTGTGCCTGTAATCCTGGCACTTGGGAGGCTGAGACAGGAGGATCACTGTGAGTCTGAGGCCAGCATAGGCTACAAAGTGAGTTCAAGGCCAGCCTGAACTGCATAGTAAAACCTTGTCTCAAAAAGACAAAAACAAAAACAACTCTAATTTTGCATTTCTTGTCACACATTTTTTTTGTGTGTGTGAGACAGGGTCTCACTATGTAGCCCAGGCTGGCCTTGAACCCAGCGATCCTCCCGCCCCAGCCTGCAGAGCGCTGGAGTTACAGGTGTGCATCCCCACACCTGGCTCTCTGCTCACTTCTGATAGAATGAGCATGACGGGTTCCCCTCTGATGTTTCATCAGTTCAGCTAAAACAAAAAGATAAATACCCTCCTTAATGCTGATGCTGAGAGAATCTGCATCCAGATCTCTTACTCTGTCTTTATGAAGAGACAGCCCTCAATACTTTTCCTGAAGCTCTTCCTTCTTATTTTACAGATGTTCCAAATGGATTTCATGTTAACTTGGAGAAAATGCCTGCAGAAGGAGAGGACCTGAAACTGTCTTGCACAGCTAACAAATTCTTATACAAAGACCTTACTTGGGTTTTGCTGAGGACAGTTAATAACAGAACAATGCGTCACAGTATCAGCAAGCAAAAAAAGGCCGTCACCGGCGAGCACTCCACCACTCTGAAGCTCATCATCAAGAACGTATCTCTGGAAGATTCGGGCACCTATGCCTGCAGAGCCAGGAACGTATACACCGGGGAAGAAATCCTTCAGAAGACAGAAGTTACAATCAGAGGTGAGCACTGCAACAAAAAGGCAGTTTTCTCTCGGATTTCCAAATTTAAAAGAGCAAGGAATGATTGTACCACACAAAGTAATGTAAAACATTAAAGGACTCATTAAAAAGTAACAGTTGTCTCATATCACATTGATTTATTGTCACTGTTGCTAACTTTCAGGCTCAGAGGAGATGCTCCTCCCAAAATGAGTTCGGAGATGCTAGGAGTAATAATGACACACCCCAGTGCCGGCTCGGGGCTCCCCGCTCGGGCTGAGGGGGTCTGCTCCCCAGGGCGACCGGTGCAAGTTTGGATTTGGAGGAACCCTGCACTGCCTTCTCTGTGTGTTTTGTTCTTGCTATCTCCTCCTGCCTGATAAACAACAACTTGGGACTGATCCTTTCTTCCACTTTGATGCCAACCTCCTTTTATTTTTAAGTTGTGAAGCTGCATAAACTGAATAATTTAAATAAAGCCTGATTTCTGCCAAAGATGGACACGAATAAGTTAATTTTCTAGCTCAGAATGAGTACAGTTGAATTTGAGACTCTTATCGGACTTCTGCCTGGTTTTATTTTGTACAATTTCATCTGCTCTTGATTTGTAAATAGCACCTGGATAGCAAGTTATGATGCTTATTTATTTGAAAACGCCTCTTTTTTTTTTTTTTTTTTTTTTTAAACATGAAGCACACTGATCTTAAACTGGAGTTTCTAACATGGGCCCCAGGGGTGCAAGATGTTGGTGTAATTCAAAAAGAACAAAGCTCTGTCTCCGTGTGAATTATGAAAGCTCACACAAACCAACACCACCTCCCTCCCTCACCTAATTCTGGGTAATTCTGCAATCAGCAACTCTCCACACGCCTCCTCACTGCGCTCACGGGCCTGGATGGCCACTGACAGCGCCGAAAAGTGCATCATATCTCCATTTTTAATATTTGTATCCCCTGGTTAATTTTCCAAAGAAATTTATCATGTTAAAATGATGCCTTCGGCCTGGGGATATAGCTCAGCGGCACAGCACGTGCCTGGCAAGCGCAAGGACATGAGTTTGATTCTCGGTACCAAAAAAATAAAAAATAAAATAAAATAAAATAAAATAAAATAATGCCTTTGAAGGTGGTCCACAATCAGTTTGTCCAAGAAATAAAGGTTACTGTGAGCAGAGGTCTAATGAATTTTTAAAATGTCAATTGAAAATCTCTTTAAAAAGTCTACTTCACCCATATTAGTTAATAGGATTTTTATGGGGATTAAGAAATGGCAAAACTGTAGAAAAATTAAAGTCACTTAAAAATACATGTCACTTATTTTTTTAAATCAAGAGAGTCTGCTCTCTTTGTTTGAAGGTTGCGTTTGAAGGGAAAATGGCTTTTTCATGAATTTAATAAGCACTGTTTTGTTTTCATTTATGATTGTTCATTATAAGTGACTTGCATGGAATATAGAGGGAGAAAAGTTATGATGACCAAAATAACCATGTCTGAGAAGCACAGTGGCTGGGCAGTTCAACGGGAGGTGACAGTATGGTAACTTTTCAAGCTTGGGAACCCACCAGCCTGTTTCCTCCTTTAGGTAGCAGACTCTGTCCCGTGGCTAAACTTATCTTTCACGTGGGAATTGCTTTTGTCGAGTGTGAAAGAGTAAACAATAGCATTTCCCCAGAATGCCAGTTTTATGGAGCCCTAAACGCTCAGAAAACAATTAGCAACCTGGAAGTTGTCAGCCCAAAGGAAAGAATAATCAATTGTATCTTGAAATTTTACCTATGGCTCTTTGGCCTGGCCTCTTTGTTCATTATTAAGTCAGAGTGTTCCTTCAGGAAACAATGCCTCAGTGCGGTAGAACTGGGGGGCCTTGGGTTTGACAAAAGCTAAAAAACCAAATGGAATGATTTAGAAGTTTCTTATGAAAAACAAATCATGGACTGGACATGTAGAACCTGCCATTTCCTTCCCCTTGTTGCCATTTTTCTGGGGAAAAGAAGATGTTAGTATTCCAAGAGATGATTTTAGGAATTCCACAGAGTAATTGTTTATCATGTAATTAACCCTTCCAGAAGTTTTTTTTTTTAAAAAAGAAACTATTGGGTGAGTTTTGCTTTTTATTAATTATTCTTTATGATATGGAGTGAGGTGAGAATAAGAGAGGAGGAGAAAAAGAAAAAAAGAGCCTGAAGTAAACAATATTTAATGAAGAAGGGGTATGCGGCTGGCTCCTCAGCCCCACTTCTAAGTAAAGAAAAGGAACTCTATATTTAAGGGACCTGGCAGATCTCTGGGGCCAAAACGCTGGAAAGGAAAAGAAGAACTTGTTGGGCAGCTATCTTTGGCTACTTATAACCAGTAGAAATATCCCACTAATTCTGATTATCTGAAGGGATCATAGAACCACTGGAAATATTCCATTAATTCTGAAGGGATCAGCTATGCTTACGAAATTTAGGAAGCAGGTGTCTACTTCCATCAATATATATGGGTTCAGCCTACTGTTCTTACTTTAAATGTCAAAATAGATTAGTACAGTATATGAAGTGGGGGACTGACAAAGTATGCCCTGGTTAAGAAGTCATTGAAAAGTAGACAAAAATAATACACTTCACACAGACCATTTATCAGAAATAAATCCTAATACTGTATGTTTTGGAATGTTTATAGGGTTGGGGATATAGCTCAGCAGCTCAAGCGCCTGACTAGCAAGCGCAAAGTCACGAGTTCAATTCCCAGTACCAAAAAATTAAAAATAAATAAATAAATAAATAAAAGAATGTTTATATGAACTTTTTATTTAATTGAGAGTTCCATGTTTATTCTGCAGCTTTTTTGCTGCTGCTTGTCTGAAGTTTGTGTAGTACAAATAGGGCCTCTGGGAGTTCTTTATGATATTTATGTTAAAATGAAATGGTCTTTTCCATATAAGCATTGTTTTCTGAACACCTGTCAGGGAAGTCCAAATCCTGCCTGTGTTGATGTTTTGGATTATAGATATGAAAATAATTTAGGTGTTGGGGTCCCTATATTCAAACTTCCTTTTTATAAAGACTATGCAATAATAGAATATTTTATCATATTTAACACACTGGAAACAGTAAAATGTGCTGGAGGAAGCTATTGAGAATATAACTGAGTGAACTGGGTCTGAGTATTAAAGAGATAAGTCAGATTTGGCTTCCCACTGCTAGGGACACAAAACAGTGCTATGACACTGTTTGTTATCATCTCATCATTTTTCACTGATATCTTGGGGTCTCTGCAGTATTAAAAATGTCAAAATTCTAATGAGCAAGTGTGAACAAGTTGTAAACTGAAGGCTTTAAACGGGGCTGTATTTTCAGTTAGGAAAAGCGGTAGGACAGGTTGCACAAAATGCCACCCGAACACCTGGTAGTGGCCCTGCCTGCAGGGGAAGACAGAACACGATAAATTCTGTACAAGGCAAGAGGGTCATTGCTGCCCTTCAGTCCACACTATGTTTGAAGAAGATTTTATCCATCAGAGCACTTCTTTCACACTTCTGCCTTTAGATTTCATTTTATATAAAGTGAGAAGACTAATAATCAATAAACTACAGAAATCAAAACTTACTGAGAAATCTGTTTCTCCCGATAGTCATCCTGCCACCTTATACTACTTTATCATGTTATAAAAGTTATATGATAACATACTTTTTAACCTGGGATGTCTAAATGGCTTTAACGAGAGCTAATCCTGAGAGTTTTCCTGCAGGAAGAGAGAAAGGTTTTGGGACTCAGCAGAACCCTAGAGGAATGTGGAATCAAAGCCACTGCACTGAATGAATGCTCTTCTGTAGCATTGTAATTACTCCTAAGTCGCTTTCACAGTGTTAATGCACCAAGATGAAGGAATAAAAAATGGTCAGAGAAAGCTTGTGCTGTATAAATGAAACTGGTGATGCAGAATGTGGGTTATGCCAAAACTCTTTTGATTTCTGTTTCAGGATTTGTATTGTAACAAGAAGGAAAAGGGATGATTTGGGAGGGTTGAAAGACATTAGGAGTCATTTTTATTCTTTTACATTGGAAGCTTGAGCTACCAACCCAGTACTCACCTAACTAGAATGTATACACATCAGCGGGACTGACTGACTACTTCATTAATAGAAACACTGTACTCATTGGGGGGCTGTGGGGGTACTGCCGTTCCTATGTGAGATTTTAATGTTGTAATGTATTGCATCTTAATGTATTAAATTCATTTTGTTGTACTATATTGGTTGGCCTTTTATTGGAATAAATTGTATTGTATTATATTTGTATGTTTTAAGAGAAAATAATATAAAATACAATATTTGTACTATTATATAGTGCAAAACCTATAAATCCATGCCTCTGCCTCTTGAATTAATCCTTTGGTTGCTTGCATTTGGGAAGGGTTTGGAGGAAGGGAACAATCAATAAAGCTTTCAAAATTCAAGAATTCTTCTGTTTGGTCTGCTGCCTTACAATTTAGGTTACAGAGTAACACAGATGCACCCTCACGACATCAATAAAAATGCATAAGTAATTCCGCTGGGTATGTGACTCAGTGGTAGAGTAAGTGGTTGCCTAGAATGTGCAAGTCTGAGCCCAGCGCTGCAAAAATGAAGAGAAAAGAAACCATAAAATTTTATTAGCTCATCACTACACCATATATTAATGTAAACATTCATTACAAGCCTCTATAATTTATAGCTTCTAGAATATAAAATAAAATCCTTACGTTTTATAAAAGCTCTTTGAAAGAAAGAGAGAGAGAAAGAAAGAGAAAGAAAAAGAAAGAAAAAAGAAAAGAAAAAGGGAAGGGAAAAGGAAATGACAGGACAGGACACTTCTTGGCCAGGCAAAAACCTTTGTACTAAAATCTAAAAATGTAGAACCTGGTCCTTGATATTCCTGCCTCCCAGGACATTTCAATTTATTGCAGCATCTTACTAAGAGGAAGCAGAACATTTAACTACTGAAGGGCGAGTCAGGGAATAAAATGCAAATGAAGCCCTTGGTCAAGTTTCGCTGTGTAGACATAAATATTTCAAATGTTGGCATGCGTGTATGAGAACGAGAACGTAAGATGCACAGGTAACCACAGCTCGCCTTCTCTCTTCACCAGGTCAGGAAGCGCCACACCTCCTGCAGAACCTCAGCGACCACACGGTGGCCGTCAGCAGCTCCACCACTCTAGACTGTCACGCTGGTGGTGTCCCGGAACCTCAGATCACTTGGTTTAAAAACCACCACAAAATACAGCAAGAACCTGGTAAGAGATGGTTTCCTTTGCTTTTATTTTTTTACTCTTCCTCCTTCCTTACTTCCTCCCCGCTTAAGTCCCCTGTCACCTGCTTCCCTTACATCTACACCCATTTGCTAGTAAAGCTGCAAAATTAGATTGTGCCTCATGCATACATAAACCTCCCCTGAGTAACACACGGGCCAATTCCTAAGTGTCCCGTATCTCTAGCGCTTACAAAAGACCCTGAGATAAATCTGTTCAACGGATAGCAGTGTATTAAGAAAAAAATGAGAAGAACCACTTAGAAAATGCTTCAGTTCACCCCAACAGCCAGGAAGGCGAGGGTGAATTACCTGGCTTGAGGGGTTGTAGAGTGTTGAACACCTGGCGTGCATGAAGCTAAGTAGCTTTATAATCTTTTTAATTCACCAGATCAATTTTAATGATTTGGAAAGAAGCAGACTATTTTAGATGATATTTTGTTCTGGTAGAAAAATTGGTAAGCTAGTTGTTCTGGGTTTTTTTTTTCAACAATAAATACTCCTACTTCAACTAGACTTAAGGCAACAAGTATGAATATTATGTGTTGCCTGCCTCATTATACTGCAGTTAAACTGAATTTTTTTGTATTTTTGAATATTTATATTAAAAATAAAATTGCCATTTGCCTAGTATGCATAAGACTCTGGGTTCAATTCCCAGCACCACAAATAATAATAATGATGATAATAATAATGATAATACTATTTATTTGCAATATTCCAACAGCTTAAATCAAATAAATGGCAGTATGAAGTGGCCCTTAAACGTGAGTCCTTTTCTTAAAATGGAACCTCCATTTGAATCTGACGCACAGGAAGAGGCTATGGTATAACAACTCCAAATTCTAAGATATTGACAGATGTCTTAGAAAGACCTCATATGCTGCAGATCCAAAACGGGTTATATCGTATCATTTTTCTTCAGTAGCCCCGCATACTGACGTCATTGACTAAACCATCCAAAGAAATAGGTGACAATCTTTCCTTTGCCTGCCTCATTTAATCACCAGACTGAGCAGGTTATACCTACTAAATGTTTTTCAAATCCATCCTTTCCCTCAAATCCCTATTCTCTCATCTTGGGTGCTTACTGTCTATCCTTTCAACATCAGCCGACACCTCCCAACTTACCTCTTTACCTCGCTTTTCTCTCTTTCTATCTATTTGCTCTACAGCTGTAGAAGGTACCTCTGTGAATGGGTCACTTCCCTACTTCCATCTCCCACTGGTTGCCCATCATCACACTGTCCAATAAAGTCCTAGCATCTGCAGAGAAGACTCTCAACAACTAGCCCTGGCTGCTACTACTCTCTGCTTGGCCTTCCTGCCTAGGACTTTCTAATGGAGAAGTGCCAATCCCTTATTGATCATTATACACACCATCCTGCTTCAGCCCACTATATTCTTTTTGTTCTTGTGTCCCCATCTGCCTGGAGCACCTTCCCTTTGTCTGATGCCCACCCATCCCCTGAGACCAGATGTACAGTCCTTCCTCCAGAAGACTTTCTTAACTGCCACCTACAGGACGCAACTCCTCCATGAGTCTTTATTACTTATGCTTCCATCTCCCTCTTACCAAGTTTTTCTTTGCCTATAATCATCAGCTTATATGTGTATTATCCATGCATACTTCTACTGCTCTCACTGTATTTTTAAAAATAATCTGTTAATAGTATTTCCCATCCAAAAAAAATAGTATTTCCCATCCAGAGGGCAGACAGTATGTCTTATTTGTCAGCTTACATGTATCTTGTCTTTCTATCCTCAGAACCTAACATAGTGCTTGGCAATCACTCAATGTTCCATGAATGAATGGTTTTCAGAAAACCACTGTCTGTCCTCATCAAGTCCATATGGTAGCATATATTCCTCAATTTGGGGATCCACATCATGGAATTTTTAAAACCAAAGAGACCTTTGGAGTATCTTTAGTCCAATCTGCAGAATGGAAAACTTGCTAGAAGAGGTAACATGGCTTGCTCATGTTACCCACTACCAGTACACACCAATTACATACTACCAACATGTGTACTTCCATGAAAAATGAACCCCTTGAAGTGTTCTACCAGAATAAAAAGATGAGTGAACTCATGCATAGCACATGAATAGTTTGTAAAAGGACATATGTAACTTCCTTCTTCCCTTAGCATTTCAGAGTGCACATTAGTGTACTGAAGACCCAGAGAAGTCCTGCGCTCAGAAACCTGGCAAACTGGTTTTAACTCTGTATTCCCCAAACTAACTCGATCACAAAATACATTTTCTAACCTATTCATGTAAGATCTTGAGTGGTTCTCTGAAAGCAGCAGTTTCCCCTCAGTTCAGTTTCCTACCTTGGATGTACATTAAGAATCAAGTAAGACTGATTTTTGAAAGCTCGTGGCTATTATGGAACTGGAGGAAAGACCACAAAATAATGTGTTCAGGAAGTCGCGACAAATGAAACAAGATTATGAAGTGCTCAGGAGATCAGGGCTTGAGGCCTCACAGCTCCTGAATGAATTTGGCCACTCACTTGACCTACTCTGTGAGCCCTGTTTCCTTATTTACAAAAGTGGGGTGACGCCAACTTTGTGGGCTGTGCTGAAGTCAAGTGAGTTCACACAACTCAGCTGGCCCTTTGTCTTGGCTTGCAGATGCCAACTCCTGCCCCACCTCATTTATACAGAAACTGGCCTCTGAATTGCCAGAAGCCACTGGGAGGTGTGGAGAGTTAATAAGTCATCCCAAATGTTAAACAACTCTAAAACAGTAAGAAAGACAGCTTTCCTGGAAGACTACCTAAAATAGGTTTTAAATTCTTCTGCAAAACTTTTTTTTTTTTTTTGGTCTTTTTGAGACAGGGTCTCATTATGCAGTTCAGGCTGGCCTTAGCTCACTGTGTAGCCTAGGCTGGTCTCGAACTCACAAGGATCCTCCTGCCTCAGCCTCCCAAGTGCTGGGATTACAGGCGTGAGCCACCATGCCCGGCCTTGCAAAACTTTTTATATCACTCGAATATGCTACGATTAGCACTCATGAGGCTCAGCTGTGCTGTTATAACTTCATCTCTTTTCATTTACTCTTTAAAACCACTACAGCCTTTTTGAAAGGAATTTCTTCATTTCGTGGAGATACTCCTACGTGTATATACCTTCTGTAAAGTTTCCTACACGATATTCCCACATCGGGCAGAGAATGCAGTAGTCACTACCTTATACCCCGACTACAACCTTTATGCGCATATAGACAGGTTCCTCCAAAATGCCAACACTGTTCTAGTTATTTCTTGTCACAAACGTATGAATAACAATTGTCGGTGACCAAATTGATCATTTCTGACTCACTAGTGTTCCAAACTAAAAGGAAAGAACATCCTGAGGATAAGGTGTGTATCCTAGGAAGCCCTCAGATGCATCTTTTATAGGAAGGCTGCAGTAGCAGCTCAAAGAGGATTTCTGTACCAAGAGGTTTTTGGAGGCCTGGATCACTGGAAAAATCTGGTCCAATACCATTGGCATTTGTTAAATGATAACTCATCCTTATTCCAAAGAGAATGTGAGGGAGGAAGCTGAGCACACACGCGAGCTCTCGTTCCGGTGGCCATAAATGCCTGCTGGAAGAACGCAGAGCAGCTGGGCCTTCTTCCTCCCGCATTTCCTCTCAGGGGAAAACATTTATGGAGGGACTCAGCGTCCTCCACAAGAAATACAGAAGAAAGTGTCAGGAAAACTGAGTAGTACCTAAACTCTTGGGCCAGGGGACGTAAAACAAGAACAAAGGGGACCTGAAGGATGCATGCCAGGAAAGCTTGCGCACGGGGTGGAAACACAGTTCCTGCCAAGGCAACCTGTATGGGAAGAGAAGGTCCTTCGCGTACCCACTGTCCACCGCCACCTGACTCCCCAGCGAGGCCCTTCTTCCTGCTCACTGCCTGACCTAGCCCTCCCCGAGGGGACATTACCCCTTACTCCCTGCCACGCCCCACCACCCAGTCTTCTGCTGCCTTTCCCCTCCGCACTTCTCAGTCTGGAAAACTCTCCTCCTTCTAAGTTCTTCTCATCCCACTTTAACTCCTGTCACCAGTGACCCTCTAACATTACAGGGCAGGGATTCTTTTCTTCTACCGTCTAGATCTTGTCACAATTTATAGCATTTAGTACATCACTTAACAGTTCTCTGGTTTTACGCGTGCTTACTTTGGAAATTTTTGAGGATAGATATGATACCTTAGTAAGTATTCTTTATGATGAATAATCATTTAAAATCTATTGAGCATTCACCAGGCATATTTGCTTTAACGAAAATTAAACATTTCATCTAACTTTCACAACTGTTGCATAAGGTGAGTACTATTGTTAGATGTGTTTCAGAGACTGATTTTACTTAATGAGCAATGATTAGGTACCCAGACCTGCTCCAAGCACTTTATTGATATTAATTTGTGTGTTCATCATAACAATTCTATGAAGTTTGCTAAGTTATCATCCCGAAGGAGCTGAACAAGAGAGGAAAAAGAACTAGCCCAAGGTCATGGAGTTAGTAGGCAGCAGACCAAGGTTCAAACCAAGAGTTTGGCTCTGAAGTCTGTACTCTAACAGCTGAGCGTGGGGCCCTACCATCAGTCACATTGCACTGGAGAACAGACTAGTTTTAAGAGACCCAGTGGGCACCCACAAGCATGTATTTAAAACAACAAATATCTCCTCCTCCTTAGCCCTTAAACAAGAAGTCTCCTGAAGACTTGATTGAAAGCACATTTTGAAACATATTAAAAATAAAATATTCTTTTAAAAAACAATTTTGAACTCAACTCTAGTTACTATTAAGTTTTAAAAGGTCTGAAATTAAGACTCACTAATTTACTTATTCAACAAAAGTTTATGAGGGTCTACTTCATTATCTGGCACTGTGCTAGGCTCTAAAAATACAGCAGTGAACAAGAAAGATAAATTTAAAAACACTGAAATCTGAATAGCCAAAAATATGAAGGAATTAACTTCAGTA